GTTGTTCAGAATATAAATTTTTTATATATAAAAAATGTTTGAAAATATACTTAGTTTTCCTGAAATAAAAAATAAGGGTTGCAACCCCCAAACACGGAATCACTTGTGAAACATTTTATTTTTTTTAAAAGAAGTAATTTCCATTTTATTTCATTTCAAAATATTGTGATGTCACAGAAATACTGTTTTTGGGGGTTAACATGAGTTGTAGTTTGCATCCGTTTAAATGTGTTTGCGGCTAAAGTAAAAACTTTTTATTTTTCAATGTTAATTCTAATCGTACAGGCATTTTTAGCACACTAGAGGGTTGTTCACCCCCTAAAAAGAGAACTTAATTTTATCAATTTTTTATTTTTTTTTAACAAATGAATTTTTTTATATATAAAAAATGTTTGAAAAATATAGTTTTTCTGAAATAAAAAATTCTGATTGTCTGTGGTAAGAATATGGATAGAGCGGGGGATCGTCTGCAGTTGCACAGAAGCAGCAGCAAACAGCGAGTAGTGGGGGTAATCCCGGTAATCCCGCGGATCCCGCTCATACAATCCCGATTTATCAGTACTAAAATCTTGTGCGGGATCCCGGTGTAACGAGATTCCAGTATATTGGGATGCCACTCCCTAGCTGCGAAGTCTTGTTACGATTAGTGTCCTCTCAAAAAATTATTATTCCCTCAGTAAAAATTATTTTATTTCTTAGTTTTATTTGTTTAGAGGAAAATGAAGAAGCTCTTGCATAATAATACTATTTTATTATTAACATGTTAAATTAAATTTTTGTAAGTAAAAAATAGTTTTAGAATGAACCCTATTCTATCACCAACCAATATTCCACGTCACTGATTAATTGTTGTTTAATTTTAAACAAAATGCCAAATTATTTTAAACTTTTACTAGTTATAATTATATTTTAGGTGACCAAGTGTCTGTACTTGTATCGGATTACATGCCAGGAGGATCTCTACTCGATCTGGCTAATACGTATAAATTGAAATCTGGTAAAACGATGAAGGAATGCCTCGTTATATATTTCACAGCCCAAATGTTAAAAATAGTACAGGCTATGCATGAAGTGAAAGTAATTCATGCAGATATTAAACCAGATAATTTTTTAGTTTACGTTTTGCCTAACTATACAGTTGGCCTCCAATTAATAGATTTTGGATGCAGTATCGACATGACACTTTTTCCTAATAACGCAACTTTTACGAGAAGGGTCACGACAGAGGATTTCATATGTTGCGAAATGTTGGATGGAAGACCATGGAATTACCATACTGATCTATTCTGTATAGCAGCTACAACACATGTGTTATTATTTGATACGTATATTAAGCTACGAAAGCAAGATGGACTCTGGTCAATAACCCAGCGCTTCGCTAGATACATGAAAGCAGATTTGTGGAGTATATTTTTCAGTGATCTACTTAATCAGCAGTCAGGGCTTGCAGACACAACATGTCTATTAAATATGTTGAATGAATCTTTGAATCATAAAGAGAATAATGTTGAAATGAGATATATTGTTAATCTACTTAAAAATCGATAGTCGTTTGGCTTGGTATAGTTTAGATTATGATCATAAATTAAATACTATTTATGTATTTTATTATTAGGTTTAGTTAGATGTAATTTTTAAAATATGATTATTTTTACAATTGTGGCTGTTTTCTTTTTGTTAAAATTTTGCGAATGTTAACTATTGAGTAGTTTCTGTTTCAGGTAGTGTTGTCATTGCTAAAATTTTAGATACTGAAAGGACAATTTGAACAAAATGACAATTACTTGTTAAGACTGTTTTTCGTCTGTTGAACAGCGAAAGTTTATGAAATAAATGGTAACGTTCTGTATACATAGTAGTCTTTAAAAGAAAAAGTTAGAACAATTTAACGAAACTGTAGAATTTATAGAAACGAGAAATATATCATTATCTCGTAGTCTCCTAACAAAGGTGGACAGTTTCTCAAAAGCATACAGAAAATGTAAAAGTAATCTTAAATTTATATATAATTTTTTCTTGTTGAGTTTGTCCTTCGAGTTAAGAAACTCCTTTAAATATTAACTTAATTTCACGTCAGATTTTCTAGTGGAAATTATGTCTATTCTTGCAGAAGCCAGATATGTACTTTCTATACAGGATTTCTGAAGTAAACGGGTAACTTTCTTGGATGAAAAAAATTACCTTAGTACAGTCCTACTAGTCTAAAAAGTTATGAGGCCTTAAAAAAGTGCTTGATTGTTTTATTTTTTTAAGAAAGCTCTACAGGAAATAGGCAACCAGCAATACATTTTTATAGATTTTATTACACAGTTTGTCTAAATATGAATTAACGCATAAATAAGAGACTCCATTCTAACGCAGATTTTCTATAAAATGGAGTTAGTTTGAAACGCAAATTACTTTTTTTAAGAAATTTGTAATTTGTCGCTTTTGAACAAGCGGCACCGCAAATTACAAATTTCTTTACAGCAAAAAGTAATTTAAGTTTCAAACCAAGTCCATATTATAGAAAATCTGCGTTAAAATGGGAGAAAGTCTTATTAGTGCATTAATTCATGTTTAGACAAACTGTGTAATAAAAAATCTATAAAAACTTATTGCTGGCTGCCTATTAGCTATAGAGCCCTCTTAAGGTTATTATGAAATATTAGAATAGCAATAGTAGATAGCAGAATAAGTTTGATTATGAAAGTTTTTAGTTGTGCCAAAAATTTACACAGGCTTATTTCACCCTTTTGCTAAATATGTTTTATAATTTAGATCAGTTCACCTCTATTAAAATGCCATGAGAAAAAACATTTATGCAACTACAAATTTTGTAAAATCATCAAGTTTATTCGTCTGTAACCGACAACAATTTTTTTTAACGGTGCATTTTAGTGACAACAAATGCACCTTTTGACAGTAAACAAATGAACGTTACATAGTTCACCCCTTTTTACTGAAAAAAATATGACAAAACAACTGTTTCAGATAATTTTAGTGACTACATTTTAAGTAAGAAATAAACCCATGATCAATCTTCATCTACATCCAAAATTTTATATTAAATTTCAGCAAAATATCTTTCATATCTCTCAAAAATGATAGAGTTACCTTAAAAAGATGGAATAAAATATTTTTTTGAGGCTCTTAACTTATCTAGGAAGCAAAATGGTACTAATTTAAGTTGATCTAAATTGGTTTATTTTCACCGAAGAAAGCTACTTTCAAGTATGGCCTGTTTGCATTTGGATACTTTGTATATGTGTATATTTCAAAGTATATGTTTGGTGATTTTGGTGATCCATAAAAGTATCAGAGAAAGTAAAGAAATTTAGTATATTTTGTGCAGTGCTATATCATTTCTTTGAAGGTAAAAAAGTTCTTATTGATCATTTTAATTATTATTATATTAAGTTTTGTATACATAATTCAATTTTAGAATTTATATGAACACGTTTGGAAATACCATTTAATGAAATTACGTAGATGTGGCTTTATCCAAATATTTAAATAAAATGGAATAATATCGGTATTTGAATAGAATATTTTTTTATGTAATTTCCTTAGCCATTAAAGAATCAGAAAAGTTATTTACAAATATAAAGGCATTTAATTTTAGAGATTTATCTCATATTTGTATCTGTTTTTGTTTTTCAGATATATACCTAGAATTTTCTGCAACTCGATTAAAACTAATATTAATTTTTGATCTTACTCAAATAAATGAGGTGTGTGTGGATTATAACAGACTTATCGAGTTATTTTTATGTATTCTGTAAGTATGGCCAACCTTTGAAATTCTATATGCCTCGTATAAATGAAAAACGAGCCATGCCTCAACTTTTAATATCCGTTAATGTATTAAAACAAAATTTTATATAGAATTTTGAAAATGAGAATTTCACTTCTGTGGGTCCTAATTAGTATTTTTTTTGGTAACTGAATATTTTTACATTGTTGTAATCTACATTGTTACTGCTCTTACTTTACAGTGTTGGTGAAACAATGTCATAAATTCTATAAAGAAAAATAGTTTTTAAGTTGAAAAAAATGAGTATTATGTTCCATTTAAGTAGTTTTTATGTTTAGTTCAGAAACCAGAAGTGCTAAATTAATGAAATCAAATAGTAAATTAATTAATTTCCATATAAAATTTTATTTTAGTATTTAAAACATGATATAAACCGTATTATCGACACATGTTCAAACGTTTCAAAGCTAATAAAGAAGACGAAGTTAACAAGAATAACAAATTTATATGAATATTGTTTGAGATTTGTAAAGTGAATTTAGCTCTTAGTATATCCTTTTACTCATTTTATCAAATATTTTAATGTAAAAGCAGTATTATTTTTGTTAATTAATGATCAACTTTACTCCCGAAACAATATAACTACTGAAAAAAATTTTTAAATGTGTTTTCATTTTAAATAAACAAATGTATATTTAAGCTTTTAATTTATGTTGTGGTCACTAATTCTTCATTGACAATTCATAGAGTAGTTGTATGAGGAACATTTTTTGTCAATATTTCTGGACATTCGGTATAATTAATATGAAATTATCAATTTCAAATTTCAACTCGTGTTAATTGTTGTTTTTTTTTTCAATTTAGGCATATATTCACAAACTAAAAATGTATTTATCAAATAAAAGCTTTCTTAGATATATTTTAAATCAATCATTTATATTTTTAGACCAGGAAATATAGAGTTGGACGTGACTTTTTGTTTCGGCAAGCTGAATTTATCACTATAGATGCTAAATATTATGTACAATAACATATTAGTTTCCACAGTCATAAAAATTATTTACAGGCTGATTAATTGTATAATTTTTACGTAAATTTACGTTTTTCGCTTATAACTTTTTTCCGTTCATTTCCATGAGAAAACAGTAAATTACTTTTTTATCGTCTTCAAAAGGCCTACAAAACTAGCCCTCGAGCGTAAAAAAATATTGATTAGATCAAAAGTTATAAACAGAAGAAGTTTATTTATGACTTTTGAATTAAACATTTATAAACGGCGTTAATAACTCGCACGATATCTGGAATCGGTAGGTTGAATAGTTCACAAGTTATGGCCTTATAAACAAATTAACTAATTATTAGTCTGGACGATCCCGAGCATCTTCCACAATCGCACTGATTTTTTTCAAGTTAAATTCCATAATAATACATTGAAATCTATCATTTTTTTTTTTTTAAATTTGCAACCTGGAAAGTTTTTTTATTTTTTAGCCTTAGTTGCAAAATGAAATATATGACGCACGCGCGTGATATAGTTATATATTATTACATATTCGGAAAGCTTATGAAAAGAGCTTTAAGTTAAAAAAAAATCGTCAAGATTCGTTGAAAAACAACGGAGTTACAGACTATCAAATATATTATTTTCAAGCGAATTTCGCTTTTTTAATGGCAGGACTATGAATGTTATCGTCATTTTCTTGGGACTCGCTGTTGTTTGCTTCCCCCACCCTTCTACTGCGCCACTGCTTCCCGAAAAATCAAGCGACCCACTGGCTTTTGACAGTATTTCTTATGCATTTAACATACTTCCACAAATAAAATATTTTTATCTAGGAAAGTACTCGGGTTGTCGGTTATGACAGTATTTTTTTTTCCGCTACCAACCTAACTTGTTTAACAATAGGCCGTCAACTTTGACAGTCTGTAACTCCGTTTTTTTTTTCAACGAATCTTGACGATTTTTTTTTAACTTAAAGCTTTTCATAAGCTTTCCGAATATGTAATAATATACAGGGTGTTTCTTAATAATGTGCTAACATTTAAGGAGGTTATTTTTGGGTCCAATTTAAGAAAAAAACTTCATATGAACATATGTCCTAAAAGTTTTACTTTTTGAACTACAGGGTGCTAAGGTTTTATGAAAAAAACATCTTTTTTTATAACTGGTATTACCTATCCTAGATATTTTTTCAAATTTGATACACGCCTTCTATTCATCAAGATGCATTTTATGATGTACAAACAATTTTATTATTTTAGTCAGTGGCGTCTGTACAGGTATCGAATATTTTTGAAGAAAAATATATTACGCCACTACTTTTTCTTTTAGTAAAAATCATTTTTGAAATCCTCATTCCTTTCTGAGCAAATGTGGTGTCTTCAATTTTTTTCGTTTGTTGTATGGTTTTTGCATAAAAAAATAAAATTCATTCATTTGCATCTTATTGGACCACTTACGAGAAAAAAAATTGTGTAACTGAACAATAATTTATTTAAGATAATAACTTTTAAACACTGAAATTATGAAATTACAGTAATCTACATACATTTTGGAATGGCAAAAGAAAATTACCCTGGCGTAACATATTTTTCTTCAAAAATATTCAATACAAAACCTGTACAGACGCCACTGGCAAAAATAATAAAATTTTTTGTACATCAGAAAATGCATCTCGATGAATAGAAGGCGTGTACCAAATTTGAAAAAATATCTAGGGTAGGTAATACCAAAGTTAACATAAAAAAAGTTTTTTCATAAAACTTTAGCACCCTGTAGTTCAAAAGTTAAGACTTTTAGGACATATGTTTATATGAAGTTTTTTTCTTAAAATAGACCTAAGAATAACCTCCTTAAATATTAGCACGTTATTAAGAAACACCCTGTATAACTATATTACGCGCGTGCGTCGTATATTTCATTTTGCAACTAAGGCTAAAAATAACAATTTCCAGGTTGCAAATTTGAAATTTAAAAAAAAAAGTAATAGATTTCAATGTATTATTATGAAATCTACCATGAAAAAAGTCAGTGCGATTGTGGAAGATGCTCGGGATGGTCCAGACTAATAATTAGTTAATTTATTTATAAGGCCATAACTTGTGAACTATTCAACTTACCGATTCCAGATTTCGTGTGAGTTATTAGACAGTGATAAGGAATGAGAGAATGCGATGCCAAATTGTTCTGGTAATAATAACGCAGTTTATAAATGTTTAATTCAAGTCATAAATAAACTTCTTCTGTTTATAACTTTTGATATAATCAATATTTTTTGACGCTCGAGGGCTAGTTTTGTAGGTCTTTTGAAGACGAAAGAAAAAAATACTTTATTGTTTTCTCGTGGAAATGAACGGAAAAAAGTTATAAGCGAAAAACGTGAATTTATGTCAAATTATACAATTAACCAGCCTGTAAACAATCTTCCCCCCATTTTTATGACTGTGAAAACTAATACAGGGTGGCCAAATGAAAACGAAACAGAGCCATTTTCAGGAACTGCGTCAAGATTGTAGAAAAACGCTCAGACCCGTCGATTTTAGATTAAAGGGGGACATTCT